TTCAATTTAAGTGCCTTACCTTAGACACAATTTCAGTATTTGTTGCTCCTCCGATGTAATTCAAGAGTAGCACCCGGCCATTTGGAGCACGGTTAGGGAAGAGTGATGAACTATATATTGTTCCTGCAATGAGACACAATTATAATTAAGATGAATCAGATCTTGTAATTATTGTAAATCATTCTGCAAGGTTAATGTCAAAATTTCAAGGTCACGAGGGTCATCCAATGATTAGAACCTTGCAATTTCATAATAAAAGTCATCCATCTCGATATGGATTGTTTGATGCCAAAAATAAGAGCGGATAACAGAAAGCTACCTAGTGTTTCCACTCCCTGTGAACGTGGATGCAACTGCCCAAATCCCTTTAGTTCACCATCAACCAGACGCTCATCACGAATAGCCTCTTGAGGATATGAAATTGTCACTGCTGCAACTGGGGGATAGTAGAAACTTGAAAGTGCATCTGCTGCGGCGACCTGAGTTTAACAAAAGATTAGGAGACATTTTGCTTCAGCAAGAAACAGAAGAAGCTCAACCACAACCTATAGATAAACACTTCTCATTTTAAGTGAGCCATATTTTCTTGCAAAACAATTATCAGAATTCAGAAGTAGTAACCTTTAGAAAATCCAAGGTCAAAGCATTTAAGAAAATTGCTAATAAAATTTTATATAAAAAATCAAAATAACATGAGATATAGGAAGACACAGGTTCCAACTTTGATGAGAGGATGGGGTACGGTTGCACTCTTGACCTCATTAAGCAAGTACATGTTAATTCTCGGCATGACACAAAATGTTCTTTTTTTAAATTTCTCTTCTTGCTGATCACATTATACTGTATACAGACATAGTATGTGGGTGTTATATGGATGTGTTTGATCCCCTTTCCCTAGTCCAAAAAAAAAAGACTAAACTTTGCTCAAACATTCCCACCTTTTTAGACAAGCTTATATATTAGAATGCCAAATGAACAATAACAATAATGACTTTGGAGCAATCAGTAATGGAAACACACCGAAAGAGGGCGTAATATGTTGCTTGCTACATAGGATGGAACAGTCATGACAATGCTTCGACTTCGCAGAGAAACTACTCCTTCTGGTGTCTCGTATGTCAAGAGATATCCTCCTTTTTCTGACTTTGTAATGCTAGAAAGCTTCCATGATAGTTTTACTTTGCTTCCCAGTCTAAGGAAACACGGAGACAACTTATAAGCATTTCCAAGTTAAAAATACTACAAGAGCACCAAAGAACACACTTAAGGCAGCAAAAAGGTCAAAACTGAGCTTTAACTAGTCGATTTTTTATATTCTTTTCTCTTCCCTTTCCCCCCAAAAGTCTATTATCCTGGGGTTGGAAGCATTGAGCTGGGAGAGCAGAAGAGCACCTTTCACAAATTGCATCCGGCAGCATTCTCAGACCCTTCCTAAATGATCCAACAGTTTGTCCTTTTGGTGTTGGTAAACGCCTGTAGAATGATTACTCAAGTCAGCATACTCTCTCTGGAGACAGATTCTTAAGAGAAGGAAACACAAGGCCTGGAAAGAAAGAACACAAAGACTTCGAATCAAGTCCATTATTACGGATCACGAGGCGGTTTAGGGTTACTGGATCTCTCCTTTATTGCTTTAAAGGTTCCCCCAATAATGCTACCACCAGTTTGTTCTAGCTTCCACACTTTCCCAAATGCTGCTTTCATACTCAATTTTGAGGGGTCGCCGGCGTAAACACCTGTAAAATGATGAGGGAGTATCACATAAAGTTCATACTGATACATTTCTTTGAAAAATACGGATCTCTACAACAAACAGTATTTAACAAAGTTAACAAATGCCAGCAATAGTTCCTGTAGATAGGGAAGAATTGAGAGGTACCAGAACAAAATGGTTCAATCAAACGTTCAAAGACTTCTGCACCAAGATTACGACGCACGAACTGCTCAACTGATTCCTCATAACCCTGTCACTTTTGCCAAACCATGCGGAGTGAGGGGAAGGCACAGATTATCAAAATGTTTAATGTACAATCTCTCTTTTATTTGCATTTTTTTTCTTTATTCGTGTGAGAAGAATCAATTAGAATAAATAAATGCATCAATGTTGTAGAGAGATAAGGGAAAGCGTATGAGTACAAACTGGAGGTGAAGGGCGAAGGCCAATGGCACCAAAACCAGCTCTGAGCTTGCCAGGAATACTCATCAAATCAAAGAAGGGAAGATCAGTGAGCTTGCCGGGAACAGGCCTTAGTTTATCCTTCCACAAGACAAAGCGAGGCGCATCAGGATCTCCCAACACTAAATCATCCTTCAATCCACAATCTACAGCCATAGTCAACATAGGATCCGAAGGCTGGAAACTGTTAGGACCTTCTTCCCATAAGTATCCATCTCTTTCCACCGTTGTTATGTTTCCACCGGCACGATCTCTCGCCTCCGTCACCATCAAATTGGGATAATTAGCCGAAATCACCTTAGCAATGCAGAGTCCACTAATTCCTGCTCCGACTACCACACAATCCAGCTCCGGGAACTGATTACCGTCGACTTCCGAGGGAGGAACTGTATAATCCTTGGCAACGGAACATCGTGTTCTCCAGCCATTGCAATTGACACTATTGCGCTTGGAGGTGGAAAAGTAAGGGATGAAATTCGTACGATTTAAAAATAAAAATGACGGCGATGAGGAGGAGGACGACGGCGACGGCAGCGGCGACCGGTGAGTGAAAATGCTAGGATGGTTGGCGACGGCCGTTGTTGTCATGACTGCACTGTCAGCTCCTCTGAGAAAATATCACCGTTTGCTTTAGCGTTATCGTTTCAGTTGGTGAAAGAATATGGGATTTGTAGACCCGCACAATCTCAGCCGTCGTTTTTCTTCATGAGTTGACATCTTTCGGTTAGGAATTAATGTTGATGAGATAAGGGGTGATGCTGCAAGATAAGTTATTCCCTTTGAGAAGTCTTGTTTTAAAAAAAATGGTTTGATTAATTTGATACGGAGCTTAAGAAAAATACTTTTTAATTTTATAGTATTAAATTAAAATTATATGAAATGCATTAAAATGTCATTTAATTTTTGTTGCATTAAACATGTAACAGAAAAAACTGAAATCAAAACATTTTTTTTGAAGCAGACTAGAAAAGAAAATACGTCATTCTTTTTTAAACAAAGAAAATACAAGATAAACAAATTAAAATAAAGAAAGTAAGTTTTGTTTTAAGAAAAGTTTTTCGATCTTTATAAGATAGAAATAAGATCTACGCATATTTTATCTTTTTGATATTTTTAGAAAAGCTTTTCGATCTTTATAAAATAGAAATAAGATTTATGCATATTTTATTTTTTGGTGTTTTTGGAATAAGTAGTGTTTGTTTGTGAAAGCACCAAAAGCTCTAATAACCAAAAACTTGCATAATCTATTGTGAATTTGTGATGGACCATTCCACTCATCATCGACGATATGCATGGAATTTGTTTCAAAAGTTCATTTTTAGGTGAAGTTGGTGGAGCAATTAGGTGGCATGCAGTAAAAAATAAGAATATTATGAAATTGATAAGTCAAACCTCAACGCTAAATTAACTAATGATTAGTGAAAAAATGGATTGATCAGTGAAAAATAAACTCTTAAAAAAGATCATAAAACTCATGACGTATACGACACCAACACATCATCCTCATCAAGCACATATGAACGTGTTTGTGGCAATGTTGTCTTAATAGCTTCATTTTCATCCACAATTTGTATACAATATCAATGAGTTAAAATTTTAAAAATAATTAATATGTATAAAATTTAAATGTACACAAAATATATTATAAGTTTGAGAAAAATCATGCAATTAGTATCTAATAACAACAAATGTTTGAATATTTTCATGATATACTTGGTTAGAACACACGTCCACTAATGCTGAATGATTATTATGATGATACAATAGTAATAGAATACTAAGTGCATCACATTTGATATTCCAAATTTTATTTTTTAAGACTTTAAATAGATTATGCGTTTGGATTTATGTTATTTTTAATATCTATTTTTTAAATTATTTTTCTATTTTGCCCATTGGCTGGCCCAATCTATATTGCTCAAGCCCCACAAACTAGCAGATCTGATCAATCTAAAAAGTCATTTTCTTAAATGAGCTTCAAAAATTCAAGTTCACCCTATTAAATCACAGGTTAGGCCCCAAACTTATATTGACGTCTCAATTCAAAATAAAATAAAGCATTTTTCAATAATACAATGGTATATTTAAACATTTCCCCATATATTTTGTGAAATAATTATATACATTTGAAGTACTAATATATAAAAAATTAAAGAACTTAATTTTCAAAATCACCAAACAAGTCACTAACACAATCTCTTTGGATGGTTGTTACATCATGTTGTATTGTTAATTTAAATATATTGTTTTGTTTTAATCTTTATTAAAATTTATTGAGTTATATCGTTAAATTCATTATTATTAAATGATGAAAAAACTCATTTTATGTTATTACATATCTAGTAATTTTAAATATTTCTTACCCTACTACGAGTATATTTTATACAACTCTACCCATAACCTTTTTTTTGTGATTTATCATTCATAATTCTAAATGTGTGATATTATGAAAAATAATACTTATAATATATTTAAGTATTATATTTATCAAACTAATACAATATAACACAGTACAATACATTATTAAATGATGAAAAATGATAATATAATGTATCCAAATGGCAAAATAATAGGGTACAAAACAATTATAAATCAAAATATAAAAAAACCCATCCAAACAAGGTGTAAAACGCAGTGTAAAAGAGTGAAAGTGAGGTACACGCTCCATTGTTTCGTCTTTTCCCGCCTCTTTCTCAGTCTGATCACGCAAAATCACCCGTACGCACGCTACCCATTTCCTAAAATTTCAAAAAGGACCCCAAAAATCCTTTGTTCATTCTGGCGTATCGACACGAGTTCTTCTTCTCACAGCTCAGAAACGAAAGGAGGCGCATGCTGAATCTCGTCTCTGCTCACAAGTGGTAAGTAATTCACAATATCTCCATGATCGATAATGCATGTGAAGTTAATCCTCATATATTCGTCCCCGCTCAAGTTTCTGTAAATTGTAGCTGTTGGAGATTTTAGATTCACCAGATGTTTGATCATTCGCTGATAGATTTACATTTATTTTTTTCTAATGAAGCTTTAATTTGGCGTTTCGTTTATGAAAGGGAAAGTACGTAGTACTGAAATTGTTCTTGAGCGATTTGGATTTTAGGATGGGTTTTGAATCTGAACGTTTTATATGTGATTATGCTGTAGATACCGATAACTAACTAGTATTACAAGTTCTCAGTTATTCTCTGTTCCATATGTGTGTTTGTGAAAGAGAGAGACCTACAGTCTTAGTCTACGAAGCTTAATTCCATTCTATGTGACTATGGCGTGTGTTTGTGAAGGCAATTAGCAATACATGTAAAACTATGATGGTGGAATTTGATGGTTAAACTTGATTAATCATTCTTTCTGCTTTCATTTTCAGAACTCAGGTAACACGCTCACTTTGGATCAGCGAATTTGCAGCTATGGACGTCAACAGGAAGTCAAAATTACGAGATGTAAGTGGTCAGCTTGCAATTCGAATCTGGGTTAATTATTTACTTGAAGCAATTTGCAGATTTCATATATGCATATTGTTCCGTCCCTGTTGTCTTTTGACTTTTCCGATAAGTTTAAATTTCTAAGTTTGTTAGCTTTTTGTGGAGTTCAATTTTCAAATTTTCTTACGACCAGAAAGGTCGACCCCTCTCACTGAGTGGATCTGATGTCATGTTGGTATGCTTAGAAAGCTAGATCTTGATATTTTGTTCTTGTCAGGACCTTGCCGGTGACGCTTGGAGTTTTGGGAGCAATTACCACCAATCCAGTCAATCTAGAAAGATGTCCATTGGAATTGTAATAGATTCAGTTTCAAAATGCAGAACTCAAAAAGTAAAGCAAGCTGAAGATCAGACTCACTTGGCAGCAGTTAAAACTTCTAGCAAAGAGATATCTGTTGACGATGGGACACCAATGGCTCAGAAAACTTCAAGCAAGGGGAATTTTACAAATGACAGAAACAAGAAGGAAATAGCGAGCACTTCTGCTATCAGAAATCAAAGAGAGCCCACAGAGAAGCAGACATCTCCTTGGATATCCACTAAAACCCTCCACCATGAACCAACTTCAGAGGCAGATACTCAAGTAGAGAAACCTTCAATTGCACAGGGTGTAGTTGAGATGTGCAACACATCACACAGAGTGGAGGTAGGACCAGCAGAGTGTTCCTTAAGGTCTTTCTTAACCCAGACAAGGACTTTGCAGTTTGACATATCCAAGCAGGTAAAGGAGGATGCTTCTATAGAGAGAAGGGGGAAATATGCATCCAAGGTTGCTCTGGAAGACATGCCTGAGAAAGAAGTCAAAGGAAAAACTACCAAAGCAGAAAATACAGGCAATGCATCTTTAAGATTGAAGCTTCAGGAAATCTTAGGAACTGTTTCTTCCCCAACCAAGCAGTGTCCAAATTCTCTAGTTCTCGAGCAGGGTGCAAAAGCCTCGAAACCAGAGCAAAAAACCAGTGGAAATCATGTTGGTGAACCTAAGCAAAATTCAGATACTATAGAAAGTGATACCCAAAGTCATGAGTACGCTATTAGGAGACCAACTACTCGTTCTTTAGCTCGAAAAAGAGCTCCTGCTAAGTTGAAATCACAAAATAGAAAGGGACCACCAGCATGTAAAGAGGACCACTTAGAGAAAAATGTCTTCCTTCCTAAAGATCTGCTGTCTAGGACGTTACGTGATGCTAGCACTGGTAGTCCTTTGATGGTATATGGAAGGAGAGGCAAGAGGAAGAGTCACCACATGGAAGCACCTAAGGTTTGCGAGCCGAACAATGAAATGAAAGATGAAGACACAAGAAATAATTGTAAAAGAGTACCAGTTCCTGAGAAATTTGTATATCCTGGTGATGGCTCTACTTTATTTCAGGAGAAAAATGACGAGATGGTCCAACCAGATGCTGGTAACCTAGAATCCCCTGTTGTGGAAATGAATGAGCAGCTGAGAAATCTACAAGAGCATATAGATCAGAAAGGAAACTCAGCAGAAAAATTCAAGAAGAAAGCATTGGACTCGGAGTCTGACAACCAAAGCCCAGTTTTTTCTTTGAAAACACCTGGCAGAAAATCTTTTCCAGGATTTGCACCAAGAAGCAATCTGGGGCAACTGCATGGTGATGATCATATAGATATAACATCAAAAACTGAGGGCATTTGTAAGGTCAAGAGCTTTGATGGATTTAGACGAGAATATAAGTCCAATACACCCGATGAATCATCAGTATCCTTCTTATTTTGACTCAAACAGTTGTAATCTAGTGGCTGATTGTCATAAATTGTAGTAATGAATTGTTGATTTTCCTTATTATATGTAAAGGATGATGCAGGAAATTTGGAAAATTCTCCTTTTCTGGAATCAAGACGTATCATTGAAGAAGATACACAGATTAAGTTTTCCAAACCATCATCCATGGAAAGTGATCCCGAGGACTCTGAAGACAGTTCAAATATTCAAGGTTAAAATGATGCTTTGTGATTCATGTTGATTCAGTTTCCTTAGTTCCTTTCAAATGTAATCATAAGTCTCCAGATGATCCATGCTGGATGTAAATTACATTTTCTGCTGATCTACGACTTGACATCTAATTTTCCTACTTTAAGGGTGTTGTCTGCTTAACATGAAATAGTTTTTGTGTGTATATATAAATGTGTCACATTTTGACAGCTAAGGTGCATGGAGGCAGGAGTTTCAAGTAAACATTTTGGCTGGGTGTGGTGAATTAATGTGATTATTTTTTGTGTATTACTAATGGGACAAAAGCCCCTTCTAAACTTTGTAGTTTGGGTAACTTATGCTGTTTACAAGATAGAGTTGCCTTGCATACTTTATACCATTCACCCTGACTGACACTTCGTGTTTATCAGTGTGACTGATGATCACCTATTATGATTTAGTTGTACTTCTGGTACTTTTCAGTGACTGATGATCACCTATTATGATTTTAGTTGTACTTCTCTTTTCTTTCACTTCTTATGTGTTCTGTTCATTTATATCTTATCGTGAGTGAGGTGCAGTTTGAAAGGTAATATAATGTCAGCGTTTCACTTGAATAGTAATATACTAACCCCCTTTGTCATTTCTGTTGATCTGCTCTAGTTTAGAATGATTATCCATTGGTGAAATTGAAGAGATGCATATAGATTTCTTTTATGTATCTACTGCTTAAAGAGAAAGGAAAAAGGCACAGTGAAAATGGAGTTAGTAGTGTCGAGGGAACTTTTGAGATCCAGCGAGTGTACTTTTCCACAGGATAATCTGTAGATTCTTCACCAGAGCATACAGAATTTAGTACTTGGAACCTGTTACCTGAAAAAAATGATATAGCTTAGTATTGATTTTCATTTGATATGACTATTATTTGATTGATATTCTGGCTGACTGGAGGAGCATTGTGTGGGACTTCTAGCTGACCTTTCATTAGTAAGTAGGTTGTTCTGCTGACCATCTTAACATAATATGAATTTTCTTAGAAGTACGTGATCTATTAATCGAGCCTCCCTGTTGACTGAAGCAAAATCAGTTATTCTCATTACTTTATGATGTATATGCAGCTGATATACAGCAACCACCGTCTCCTGAAATTTGTAATACCGGGGAACAACCTCCTCGACCAAACAAAAAGCTCTTCAACAAAGGTTGTGCTAATCTTTCTGGAGTTAGTCTTGCTGCAGCTTCTTCTAAAGGTTCATGTCCATCAGTTCAAATTCTCTGTTTGTCTGATGGATCTTTGTGTTATTCCTTATAATTACTTTTTCCTTTCCAGTTTCTCAAGACTTTCTCTCTCTCTTTTTTTCTCTCTTCTCCATTTGGAATTCAACAGGAATTGATTGTAGGAAGTTTGAAAGGCATTTAGAACAGAATGAAGAGGATGTGCTAACTAGGTACTTCTTGCATTTTCTAAGTAAACGAATTAACAGCTTTCTTCAGCAGAGTTCTCTTTCCCGAGTAAATGAACTAAAAATCCTTCAGCACTGAGTTTTTATTTTTCAAAATTTCATTGAGCTTCAATATCACTTTGCAGTGCCATCACCTTATTCGCTTTCTCATTAGAGAAAGTTAGAACCAAACTGAAGTCTGTGACTAACCAAAGATCTGCTGAGATCCTGAACTCAGTTGCTGAGAAAATACATATGCAGTTGCAGAATGCTGAATTTCAGATTCAAGCAGACATGTAAGTAGCATAAAATGGCAGTAACAATTTCAAAGATTCTGTTCTTTAAGTATGACTTTTCTCTGTTCCAGGGGGAGAATAACCAGTCTGAATAAATCAAAGAGAAAGCATGTAGAAGAAGTGCTGCAAGGTAACTTGTTAACAAAATATTGACAATTTGGTTGATATCTGCTGCTTCTGGTAGTATTTTGTTCAAAATTTGAGTGCTGAAGCAAGTTAGTTCTGGTACGTCCTATTTGTTTATGTCATGGAAAGGTTTTCCCACTCTTCAGATGTTCTAACCTGTTTTGCCAGAGCCCGTAGGACAGGGTATTATTCTGCATGTGTGAGTTGTGGTACCTTGTTAACTATCACTTTGAGGATCCGTTAGTTTTGCGTGCCATAAACCCCAGCATGACAAGTCTCATTTTTCTCATCTAGTACCGGTTTTAGTTATGCAAAGTTTCGTTTCTTGACATGATGAGCGTGAGGAATTAATTCCATTTTCCACAATGCAAATGGAATTTTACTCTTCAATGCAAATGCACATGGAAATTTGACTCTTCAATGTTTCTTTCCGAGTTTTCTCTGATTTCCTCTTTTCGAGGGCTATATGGTTCTTTTTCCTGTTTGAAAATTAATTACTCTGAATTACGTTGCAGAGAAACAACAACATCTGAGTGCCATATACGAACGATTTAAAGAAGAGGTCACTCGGCATCTCCAGGATTGCAAGAGCACACTTGAATCTCTAGAAGCACATGAAGTCGAAGTGAAAGCAACTGTGGAAAAGAGAAGTATGACAAGATCTTCTATGAACTTTGCTAAAGCTTAATTATTTATTTGAACCAGTAATTGTCTATATCTTGAATAATATTTCCTCTATTGCACTTTAAAGCATCTAGACTACAGGAAGGGCAGTAGTTGATGACATAGCATGTTAATTCTTTGCTATTTAAGCAATATATTAAATTTCCCAGGATGTATTGCTGCATATGCTTTTGCTGCACATACATTTTTGTGAAACTAAACATCGATGAGGAGCTACAATTACATATTGGACATGTGCCTGGTGATCACAAGGACAAGCTAAATTCTGATATTTAATTTTCATACTGTAGAAACATCAAATAAGAAGCTACTTTTGGAAGTGGAAGAATCAATTGAGACTCAACTTGACAATGCTGAAAGAAGGGTTTCTTCGGTCCACCATGTAAGTATTCTTCACTCACAATTTGGAGAATAGCTTTGCATTCATCTTTGTCCACCTCCCCACCACACACACACACACAGAGCCTATCCGACTGGAATGTGGTGTGAATGTTGCTCATCAGATTATCTTCATTATGCATCTTATATACTTGGATAGTCGCTTCAATTATCTATCATGTACACAATTTCAATCAGCTGTTCCTGTGCTACATAAAGCAATGGAGACTTTAAGAGTCAAATTGCTGATTAGATGTGTTGTTCCATGTCAATTGCCATGTTTGCTATGGAACAGTTAATTTCAATTATACCAATTAAAGTCAACTTAGCTTTAACAACTATATAATATTAACATCACAATTAGTTTTGCCACATTAAAGCACGTAGCTGGTTAACTTCATTGACTTGCAATTCTGGAGAATATAGAATGAGTGACACTTGTGCTCTAACTGCAAGTTTTTTGCTTATGTAGGCGGCAAGGGAGAAGATGCGTCAGCTGAAATTTGTGGTTGCTGAATGTTTAAAAGAGGGTGTTCTTGGTTGATGATCTCAACGTCTCATGGATTTTCAGAAGAACGTTATAGGCATATGTCCCGAAAGCGTGGCTATTACATTATTTTCCAGGAGTGAATTGCTTCTCTTTTTTCTTTTTGGGGCTTCTGTAGTCTATTTTAACTTTAGTTCACTAGCTAGTACTACAGTAGATGCTCTTATCAACATTCTTACAGAAACACAATTCCTCGAATCCTTTTATGTAGCCTGTGTGACAAAATTAGAAATTGTGCTGATTATGTTGGGTTTCAAGCGTCTGATAATAGACTAAGTTTTAGCTAAAAACTCGGACAAATGGTCATTATCATAGTTATAAACTCTCGAGCTAATGACCTGGTTCGTGATCCTTGAATTATTTTGAATAGAGAGAGAAAGGTTAAATTACGTACATATTAAAAATTGTTTTTACTCCTTAACAAGATTTTTCTACTGAGTTTGACAATGCTATTGTATGGAACAAAAGATAGAGTAAATCCAAACGAAAGAAAATGAGGAAGGGAGTGTACTACGGAGTTTGGAGAAGGGTGGACTACAAAGGTCTATTGCAGTCTTACCCACATTTTTGTTAGAGGTTGTTTCCATAACTTGAGCCTGCAACCTTTCTAGTTACATGGCAACAACTTATGGAAATATCTACATAACTAGGAGTCTAGCACAGAACGCGAGGAATTTTTACTACCAACGGAAGTTCTTCATTTTGGAAGAATTGGACTCAACTAGCTGCACATAAATGACAGCTTCAAGATTGACATCAATGGACATGTTGCCAATAGATTACCCAGCATTGACATCATTTGACAAGTAAATCTGACACCTCTTCAACTAATGAGTTACTACAACCCCCCATTTCATTGTGTTTTAATTTGGCAGGACAAGATGTTTAAAAATGTAAAAAAAAGACACATTTGAAAGTTGTAATCTTAAAAATGTAGAAAACACCTTTTAATCTTATAATCTTAAACTAAAGGTGTACATAACATACCAAAAATGCACTTTGAATAATCTTCTGGTCGTCATTAAGAGTGAAATAAAAACATTGCAATTAAAAACTTACTAAATAGATGAAAATAACATTCTTTTGGATATAGATTAAGAAGGAAATAAGACAAACTATATCGAGTAGAACTTTTTGATAATGTACAACATCATTGACATGTCAACTACCAATGTCTTATCGACAGAGTTTCACGCATTAACTATGCCCTGTCTATGAAGATCAAAGGTGCGCACTTATCAATTGTGGCATGGACTACCAGGCATCACAGTACAAAACATGGACAAAACAAGATCATAACTGCAATTGGCTATGCAGAACAGCTTCACGATTGCCATCTTTTGACATGGCACCCATAGATTCCACAGCATGTTCTGCCTCCAGGTCCTTCCTTGCATGGTGTGCGAGATGAAGCTTTGAAAGAGATTCACTCAGTGCATCGGCAGTTTCCTGTGTTCCTGCTACTACAGCATCTACCCCAGTGGATGTTTGAGTCGGTACCTCAGCAAAATTCATCTCCAGCTCCTTCAGCTCCTCTTCAATATCTTCATCCTCAATTTCTGCACCTGCTGCATTTGAGCCTGAGGAGGAGCCAGAAAACTGGTAGCTTTAGTACAGATACAAAACCCAACTAAACTCATAAAAAATAATTAGATTGGGAGGTATGTCCAAATTGTTCAGTTGATGAGGCAATATCTTCACGCTCAAAGGCCAACATCAAGTGATGACCTGATACCAAGTTGAGATTATGTATTAACCTGAAGGTTCATCATTGTCCATCACTTTACAAACTGGGATAGATGTTTCCAGAAACAGGCTCAATCGACTCTTGATTATGGGTTTCTAGTGAATACTAAATCAGAATATTCACTACCATGATTACCAATTGAGTTAAACTATATATAATTTCTCTTAAATTTTATTACTTCATTTCAATTTATTTGTCTGGTTTTGACTTGACAAAAAGTTTAAGAAAATAAAGAAGACTTTTGAATCTTGTGGTTTTACACTAAAGATATGCAGAATGTACCAAAAAGCCCTTTAATGTTGTGATCTTAAACATGCCATGTTTTTAAAGTTGAAATTAAAGAGCTGACAAAAAAGGGAAGAGACATTCTTTTTTGAAATAGACTAAAAAGGGGAGTAAAACAAATTGAAACAGAGGGAGAATCTGATAAGAATGTGACAGATTTCGGGGTGTCATACTACCTAGAATTTCATCAATCTGCTTCTGCGATTCAATACACTCGTTCAGCTCCTGTAGACACAGCTCAACTTCATCATAATTGATCCCATTTTCCTTAATAGCCTGTGTGCCAATTCGAATGGCTTCAGCAACCTGCCATTAATCAGGGTTGAGTTAAGGTTGTCAAACCAGTTCAAAAAGGGTTAATAAAGTCATCTGTAACTTGTCAATTTTGGATTAGACCAAGCACAGTTTCACATAATATAACATCAACCTCCTTTGAGGCTTCTGCATCAGCAATAACTGCAAGGACTTCCTCCACTCGGTTTAGTAGCGCTGTACATTTTTCTCTACTCAAAGAAGCTAGCTTCATCTCCCTTGCACACTTTAGAGCCACTTGTTTGCTCCCAAGTTTTAGAGAAGCTAAAGCAGATGCTCTAGACCTGTGCATTGAACAAGTATCCTAGTTATTTTGGATTAACTTTTGAGGAACAGTACTACCTAAATGAGCCCCAAATAGAGCCATTATGATTAGTCAGAACTTCTATGTCAAAAAAAATTGGGCATTTCTTGCCCTATTCTGGCCACAGGAAAAACATTATTTTCATATTTTCCTTTTTTGGATGAAGCAATTATTTTTTGGGCATTTACACAACTGAAGCATTTATTGGTAGAATCTCTTCTCTATTGTATTATTAGTATTTAATATTGGAGGATGATAGTCCTTACCTTTTCCAGCGTTGATCTATCACATTAAGCTGATGCTCAAGTTTCTCTACCGTCCAAATCAAATGCAGCACATCAAGATCTAGACTTGTTGTGCCAGAAAGTGCTCTTGCTGAAAGAGAGACTTTCACTCCCTGTATGGAAAAACTACATCCATCCATATTACTAGCAGTGTTCAAGATTGGTGAATCAAGCTTCCAATGATTTAACAAACAAAAGCAGAGCTAAACATGGCAGAACTAAGAAGTAGAGACCTCTGGATGACCAGAGTTTTAGGTTCCAATCATAACGGAGAAACAATAGCAACCAATAATTATGGAATGGGAATCAATAAAGATTGTTGGACATCCATATACATTTTTCTTGATTGCTACAGGTATACAAGCTCGTTAAAATATTTTAGTGATCTATTACTTCAATGCACTGTACTAAGAGCACGTTTGGATTGACTTAAAAAAAAAGTACTCCCTCCATTCCATATTAATTGAATTGTTAAGACATTTTTCATTTTTCAAATTAACTTAATTGTTCATGTTAGAATAGAAATAAGTATTTCCTACTTAGAATAGAAATAAGAATAGGAATAGGAATAGGAATAAGAATAGGAATCCTAGTTGGAAAAGGATTCCAATGTAGTGTCTATAAATAGGGTCTCAATGTAACTATTTAGATACACAATTCAATAATATTTTTCGTATATATTTCTCACATGGTATCAGAGCATTGGTGAGAACAAACAAGTCACCGTATGTCTATGTCAATTTCCGGTGACTGTTGGGTCTGATTTTGTTATACTTTTTTCTTTCTGTGGGTGTTGTGCGAAAACCAACACCACCACGAGGCTCGGAAAGCCCCCGCGACCAAACCCCAGCCAAAACCACCGCAAAACACCACCCCACGCGCTCTCACGCGCCTATCGGAGGTGGCAGTTTCCGGCGAGATCTGTCTCACGCGCCGGCGCGTGAGGGCTTTTCTGATCATATTTTTTTGAGATTTTTTTGACAGTTGGGGTCGTCCAGCCAATCCGACCAGGCCCATACTGTTTTTGACCAGATCCGATCGCCGGAATTAGAGTTCCAGCTATTTCCAGGCAGTTTCCGGCGACTTTTCTTCGAGATTTGAATTTTCCGAGACAAATTTAGCATAATGTCTTTTGGGTGTGATGTTTTTGGTTCCAAAAATATGGGGATTGGAAGTTCTAGCCCTATAATCACTTCAGAACTTTTATTGGGAAGTTCAAACTATTTATCTTGGGCTTCCTCGGTTGAGTTGTGGTGCAAGGGTCAAGGTGTCCAAGATCACTTAACGAACAAGGCTTATGAGGTAGATGTAAAGGCAAAGACTAGTGAGGAAGATGCAAAAGCCAAAGCACAATGGGAGAAAGTAGATGCTCAATTATGTAGTCTCCTATGGCGTTCTATTGATTTCAAGTTGATGCCCTTGTTTCGCCCATTCCAGACGTGTTATACAGTTTGGGAAAAGGCTCGTGCTTTATACACTAATGACATATCTCGATTCTATGATGTGATATCTCGATTGACCAACTTAAAGAAACAAGAATCCGATATGTCTACTTACTTAGGACAGGTACAGGCAGTCATGGAGGAATTTGACACATTAATGCCAGTTACTACGAATGTGGAAAAACAACAAGAACACAGACAAACATTGTTTCTAGTTCTTACTCTTGCTGGACTTCCTCCTGATCATGATTCTGTACGTGATCAGATTTTAGCTAGCCCTACAGTTCCTACAATCGATGAATTATTCTCTCGTCTCCTTCGTCTTGCGGCACCTCCCAGTCACAAGGTAGTTTCATCACCCACTGTTGACTCATCTATTCTTGCATCTCAAACCTTTGAAAAGCGTACATATCAATCTATGGAGAATCGGCGAGGAGGAGGGCGTTTTGGGAAACCTCGATCCAAGTGTAGTCATTGTCATAAGCCTGGACACACTCGTGATATATGTTATATTTTGCATGGTCCACCACCCAGTTATGATCCTATTGTTCTAAAGGAATATAATGAGTTCCTTCGAAATCGCGCAAATAAGCAAACGTCTCCACAAGTAGTTTCGGTTGCACAACCTGATGTCTCTGTTGCGGGTAATTCTTTTGCTTGTGTGTCGCAATCTAGTACTCTTGGAACATGGGTCATGGACTCTGGGGCTTCTGATCATATCTCTGGTAATAAATCACTTTTATCCGATATTGTTTATTCACAATCTCTTCCAGCTATTACTTTAGCCAATGGGATCCAAACCAAACCAAAAGGGGTTGGAAAAGCCAAACCCCTATCTTCTGTCACCCTAGACTCTGTTCTTTATGTCCCTGGTTCTCCTTTTAATCTAGCATCTGTTAGTCGTTTGACGAAAGCCCTACATTGTAGCATAACTTTTTTCGATGATTTTTTTCTCATGCAGGACCGCAGTACGGGACAGATGATTGGAACAGGACATGAATCACAAGGCCTTTACTATCTTACCTCTTCAAATTCCTTAGCAGCATGCTCCATTACAGATTCCTCAGATTTAATTCACAAACGTTTGGGACATCCGAGTCTATCCAAACTGCAAAAGATGGTGCCTAGTTTGTCTAGTTTATCCACATTAGATTGTGAGTCGTGTCAACTTGGGAAACACACTCGTGCTACGTTTTCTCGTAGTACTGAGGGTCGTTCAGAGTCTATTTTTTCATTAGTTCATTCTGATATTTGGGGTCCTAGTAGAGTCAGTTCCACCTTAGGATTTCGTTATTTTGTTAGTTTCATTGATGATTATTCAAAATGTACTTGGGTTTTCTTAATGAAAGATCGTTCTGAGTTATTTTCTATTTTCAAAAGTTTCTTTGCTGAAATACAAAATCAGTTTGGTGTTTCTATTCGTACTTTTCGTAGTGATAATGCCTTAGAATACTTATCCTCCCAATTTCGGGAGTTTATGACTCACCAAGGCATTATTCACCAGACTACTTGTCCATACACCCCTCAACAAAATGGTGTAGCTGAAAGAAAAAATCGGCATCTTATTGAGACCGCTCGTACTCTTCTCCTTGAATCCAATGTTCCATTGCGTTTTTGGGGAGATGCAGTTCTTACGTCTTGTTATTTGATAAATAGAATGCCCTCTTCTTCTATTCAGAATCAGGTTCCCCATTCCATACTGTTTCCTCAGTCACATCTCTATCCTATCCCTCCTCGTGTCTTTGGGAGCACATGCTTCGTTCATAACTTAGCCCCAGGAAAAGATAAATTAGCTCCTCGTGCCCTCAAATGTGTCTTTCTTGGTTACTCTCGAGTCCAAAAAGGGTATCGTTGTTATTCACATGATCTTCATCGATACCTTATGTCTGCTGATGTTACATTTTTTGAGTCTCAGCCTTACTATACATCTTCTGATCATCCTGATGTCTCTATGGTCTTACCCATACCTCAGGTTTTACCTGTGCCAACCTTTGTGGAATCTACGGTTACTTCTACATCTCCAGTTGTAGTGCCACCACTACTAACTTATCATCGCCGTCCACGTCCAACCCTAGTCCCAGATGATTCATGTCATGCGCCAGACCCTGCTCCTACTGCGGACTTGCCTCCTCCTAGCCAACCGCTTGCACTTCAAAAAGGTATACGATCCACTCGAAATACTAACCCACATTATACCTTCTTAAGTTATCATCGTCTATCATCACCCCATTACGCATTTGTGTCGTCTTTGTCCTCTATTTCCATTCCTAAGACTACAGGTGAAGCACTTTCTCATTCTGGATGGAGGCAGGCTATGGTTGATGAGATGTCTGCTTTACATAAGAGTGGTACTTGGGAGCTTGTCTCCCTTCCTGCAGGTAAATCTACTGTTGGTTGTCGTTGGGTTTATGCAGTCAAAATTGGTCCAGACGGTCAGGTTGATCGACTTAAGGCTCGCCTTGTTGCCAAAGGGTATACTCAGATATTTGGGCTAGATTATAGTGACACTTTCGCTCCTGTGGCTAAAATTGCATCTGTTCGTCTTTTTCTATCTATGGCTGCCGTTCGTCATTGGCCTCTTCATCAGTTGGACATTAAGAATGCTTTTCTGCATGGTGATCTTGAGGAAGAAGTCTATATGGAGCAACCACCTGGTTTTGTTGCTCAGGGGGAGTCTAGTAGCCTTGTATGTCGATTGCGCAGGTCACTCTATGGTCTAAAACAGTCTCCTCGAGCTTGGTTCGGGAAGTTCAGCACAGTAATTCAGGAGTTTGGCATGACTCGTAGTGGAGCTGATCACTCTGTGTTTTATCGGCATTCTGCACCAAGTCGATGTATCTATTTGGTTGTTTACGTTGATGATATTGTTATCACCGGTAATGATCAAGATGGTATCACCGATTTGAAGCAACATCTCTTTAAGCACTTCCAAACTAAAGACCTTGGCAGATTGAAGTATTTTCTAGGTATTGAGGTTGCTCAGTCTAGATCAGGTATTGTTATTTCTCAGCGCAAGTATGCCTTAGACATTCTTGAGGAGACAGGGATGATGGGATGTAGACCTGTTGACACTCCTATGGATCCGAATGTTAAACTTCTTCCAGGACAGGGGGAGCCACTTAGTAATCCTGAAAGGTATAGACGACTTGTTGGAAAGTTGAATTATCTCACAGTGACTAGACCTGACATCTCTTTTCCTGTGAGTGTTGTAAGTCAGTTTATGACTTCCCCTTGTGATAGTCATTGGGAAGCAGTTGTTCGTATTCTGCGATATATAAAGTCAGCTCCCGGTAAAGGACTACTCTTTGAGGATCAAGGCCATGAGCATATCATTGGATATACAGACGCTGATTGGGCAGGATCACCCTCTGACAGACGTTCGACATCCGGATATTGTGTTTTAGTAGGAGGTAATTTTGTGTCGTGGAAGAGCAAGAAACAGAATGTGGTTGCTCGATCTAGTGCAGAATCAGAATATCGAGCAATGGCGACAGCAACTTGTGAGCTAGTTTGGATCAAACAGTTGCTGGGAGAACTAAAATTTGGCAAAGTTGATAAGATGGAACTTGTGTGTGATAATCAAGCGGCTCTTCATATCGCATCAAATCCAGTATTTCATGAAAGGACTAAGCACATTGAGATTGACTGTCACTTTGTCAGAGAAAAGATACTCTCGGGAGATATTGTTACGAAATTTGTGAAGTCAAATGATCAGCTTGCAGATATCTTCACCAAGTCCCTCACATGTCCTCGTATTAATTACATCTGTAACAAGCTAGGTACATATGATTTGTATGCACCAGCTTGAGGGGGAGTGTTAGAATAGAAATAAGTATTTCCTACTTAGAATAGAAATAAGAATAGGAATAGGAATAGGAATAAGAATAGGAATCCTAGTTGGAAAAGGATTCCAATGTAGTGTCTATAAATAGGGTCTCAATGTAACTATTTAGATACACAATTCAATAATATTTTTCGTATATATTTCTCACAGTTCAGTTTTCAAGACTATATTTAGAGTATTCTTCCAATTTTACCCTTCATTAGTTAGTATTGGAATTAGTGATTAATTAATATTTAGTTATTTTAATCATAAATTTGACAATAATTAATAAGGGTAAAAATGAAAAATAATGTTCAATTTATGTCTTAATCTACTTTCTTAAAGGGTGTGAAACACCTCAAAAATTAAATTAATATGGAATGGAGGGAGTAGCTTTTAAGTCAGAGATAGAAAGGTAAACTTAAATGACTTTTAAGAAAAAAAATAAAAAGTAGGGGGAGGCCTACTTTTGGTTTTTAACTTATTTTAAGTCATTTTTAACCTTGCCAAACACTTCCTAACTTATTTTAAGTTATTTTTATATTTGGCAAACACTTCCAGAAGTCAAAACCTGACTTAAAAATAGGTTTGACCAACTTTTAAGTCAATCCAAACAGCCTCTAACTCATCAATTGCACCATGCTTGTTAAGTTATGGACTAGAAAGTGTGAATACTTTATAATACATTAGGTATTTTTTTTGTTAAATGGTATACTACAGGGATGAAGTTAAATTTGAACCCAAACAATAGGGATGCTTTTTGTCAAAAACTCAAAAAATTGCTGTTTGTTCATCACAAAAATAAAAATAAAAAGTTTTGCCATTTCCACCCCCCACCCCTTTCGTATAGCTTTCACGGTAAAGTGGAAGGTGAAAGGAGGAAAGTAAATGAGAAGAGGCCAGGGTTATTTCACTTGCTATATATGAAAGTAAAAGGGGAGGGGAAGTTAATACTGAGGGGTGACATACAACTACGGAAATGGAGAGAAAAGCACATCTCTTTTATTTTCCTTTCAATTGTACCAAATAACTAGCCATAAATGATGACAAGTCCTTCAACGGGAAGTGATGAGTTTCTCTTTCATTCACCCTTTCAGCTCCCTTCGTGGAACCATATATAGTATTGATACATGAAATGTAAATGGAAAACAATATTCCAACAACATTACCTCCATTAGACCCTTCTTGTTTATTACAAGGTACTTTGCTTTCCCGTGTTCACACAAGTGATTCAAGACTGCATGAGCTTCCTTCAATCCGCCAGAAAATTCCTGGAACTTACTCCATGTAATTACACAGGAAGCTGTCCAGTGGCTTCCAGATAACGCTTGGACCACTTGAAGAGCCTTTTCCTAGTTTAGTTATTTCACGGTGGCGGGTTGAAAGATTAGAAAATCCAATAACCATTTAAGAGAACTAAAATGAAACGATCACTAGAGCTATCTCAAAAGGGAAGTACAGGAAATAGAGCCAAGAAACAAATTAAAGGAAAACAATGGCAAAGGAGGGAAAAAATAAAAGAAGAACAGAAACCAATGAAAGCACAAAAAGAAAGCAAGAACAAAGACGACATTTAACATCATGAGTATATGAAATAGTCATAGACTATCTGAGATAGGCAATGCTTGAGATAAGGCCATTCATATTTTCACTAGCCTATTTATTTTCTAATTAACAGTTTTAGTTTCACTCAGGCTTTCTGAAAGGATCAGTTTTATATTGATGACATCCCCTCCAAATCTGGTATATAAAGATGAATAACATCTATGATTAATTTAAGAACAAGAAACAATTACCTTCAGTAACACAGGAATTATGTAATAGTCTTCGGCAAGATTTTCTTGAGTAGATGGTCTCAGCAGACCTCCCAAATTTACGACTCTCCGAAAAATTTGAGAAACCCAACCACTAGCTGGATCAGAAACTTCCACATTCCACAATAGTTCACCAGCAGCATACATTTCGAGCTATGTAAAGAACAGTATAGTCATGCTTCTGGCTGTTGCATTGTGTGGACATACAAATGCATGGGGCAGGAAATAATTTAATTCCAGTGTAAATCTTCAAACTTTACATTTAAAATTGGTAACATTGATTCAACTTATTAGATTTTAAGATAATCTGCTTACAATCTCTTTTGATGATTAACGACAAAGAGCATACAAAAATAAGAGGAAAAAAACTAGATAGACTAAAGAAATATCTTTTCTATCCTTGCAGAAAACAAACCTTTTAGAACATTCATTGTGTTCACCTAATTTATTGTGAACTTCATTCCCCGCATCCAACTTCATGCAACAATCCTAGACAAGCCTCATTTTTTTTTCTTGTAGAGCGAAAACTTCTTAACTGTTATTTCTCGCTCTTCCTATGTTAACCTTCTTATCTGCTCTTTCAAATTTGCATTTTAGTGAGCTTGCCTAAGTGTTGTCCAAAATACTTATATTGATTCCAATCTGAATCAGGCATTAGTACAATTATTCCATGTTCATATCAGTAGTTCTAAGTGGTCAAGCATCGATAATGTGAAACAAGAATAGAAGAAGAAAATTCGGGAATAGGTTGCTTGATAATTTCCTTAAGCCATTAGGGTTTAAATAACCATTACAATAAATTTTAAATGAGGAAAGAAATGAAGGAAATAATTGCCTTCCTACAAAATCTTCTAATTACCTAATTACAGGATACATGAATCATTCCATATTTACATGGTATAAGTTTTTGCCATTAACAAGTAAAATCAGTGATGCAAGCAATATTTCAGTTTCAATGTCACTGTCCCATTTAGTCTTGATACAGCCACTTAATCTGCAGCTACAATTTGCTTCCAGTTACTCATCTTCATCAGTATCAAGAAATGAAGTATAATCTCCCTAGGTTCTTATACACCATTCTGCAAAATGAATAATCTTTTGCTGCTAACTTCCTTCCACGTGTGTGCATCTCCTTTAAGTCAATCAATCCTTCATGTCTTTCATTTCAAAAAGTTACATTTCCTACAATATAAGATGTTATAATAAGTACTTTGCTCTCTTTTTTTTTCTTTTCTTTTCTTCAAATTAAAGACAGAAGCAGGCCCCTAATAAATCGAATCTGATGGCGATAAAATTATTAGAACCTTCTTGGGGAATATTATAGGATCTCATTCACTTCCATGCTTAGATTTGATGAATAACCTGAATTAGAGGAATCACAACTTCCAATTGGGAATCACTATCCTTTCTATCAGGCAGTTGAGCTTCCCATTGTTTGACCAGATACTCTTCTCCTAATGTTACCATCTGCTTTTCCTTTTGATAGAGGTCTCAAAGAAAGTTTGCCATCACTCATTGCTCTATAGAAAAGCCTTCCTCTTCTAGCACAAGCACTGAAGCTAACTTCATCTATTATCACCAAAATCCTAATACTACACCTTTTAGTCTCTATTAAGCACAAGTTGCACACACCCCAACAATTTCACCATATTTCTGTATTCTCCCACCAATAGATGTACTAGATAACTCTATCCACCCATGCTTAAGCAAATGAAAAGAAGTCTTAGAATCCTAGTTTACTTGAGCCAAGGGTCTATCGGAGACAACATCTCTACCCTCACAAGGTAAGGGTAAGGTTGTGTACACACCACCCTTCCTAGACTCCACTTGTCGGATTACACTGATTTGTTGTTGTTGTTGGAACCCTAGTCTTCCATTATTATCACTCTCTATTGTTTCAGTAATGCAGAAAATGACCTCGTTGTTAATTCAACTTATCATAATTTTATTGGAAACTCTTTCTTTTGCGTTATCAGGTTAGATTTCTTCAATATTTTATCTCCAATTATGAATCACTTACACAATCTAGCTACTTTCCAGAGACTCCAGATTCTTCACTTATGTGCCTTGCTTGAGGAAATCTTTCTTGAATTGGCGAGAATGGAATACTATTGGATTCCATGCAAAGCACTATTTTTTATCTTTTTGCCTTTACTTTTCAAACACTAACACATCATTAATAACATACATTAAAGACTCAAACTTGAGGATATATTAATTAACTTCAAGTTCAACTGCTAGAATTCCCACCTTCCACTTCGACCTCATACTCCTTCCCACCATCCCCAACCAAAAATTCGCAAGCTAACTTAAACAAGTATTTCTTTATGCAATACAATGAGTGCTCCAATACAATTTGAAATTCACTAAATTACAGTGTGGAACATACCAGTACTTGATCAAGGCACAAAGGGACGAGACCTCCTCTATCGAACCAAACGTTCACCTTCCATTCACAACACCAAAAAGGGTCAATTCTTGTCATCAGTAGAAGGAAGAGTGGAGAGTAAAAAAAGGAGAAACAAACCTGAGAAGGACGAATAATGAAGATGTGAAGGTGTCGAGCCACATTGAGAATCAAATCCCTCCAGAAAACATAAAGGGGTTCCCAATCAGTTCTCTGACCGCTAAACGCCTTGAACCTGGCAGTACACTTCACTTCATCGTCCCAATCGGGAACTTGTTTCCTCAAATACTCCATAATTGACTCCTCCTCCTCCTCCTCTCCTGTAACATCATCCTCCATTTCCTGGATTTTACCCATCAGAATTAAACCCTAATCGGAAACCTCCTCTACTATAACTGAGAAAAGACCCAAAAATAGTCGCTCATCTTTGATTTGGTTAAGACTCAAACTCATTCTTTGAGTTTTCACATGCAACATTAATAGTACTTTTGGTCCCCTTTAAAACTTTGCCTACTTTTTAACATTGATTTTATTCATAATTTATGTATAAAATGTTTAGTCGTCATTTTATATATTTAGTAGAAATAATAATTCCATGTGAGAGATTGTGAGAAAAAAAACACCTTATTTTGTTTAATAGAAATCATATTGCAGGTAAAGTCGAGAGGTTCATCACGACGATTTCACATACAATAGTACACCTTATTCTGTTCAATAATATTTATACTGAACAGAACAAGATGTTCTTCTTCTCACTTTCTCTCACATAGAGTTATTATTTATACTAAATATATAAAAAGACGATGAGACACTCCTTACATAAAATTATGAACAAAATTAATGTTAAAAAATAGGCAAAAGTTTAGAGGAGGACCAAAAGTGCACCAATATTACAAACACGAGGAACTATTAATGCTCCATGTGAAAACTAAAGAATGACTTTGAATCTTAACCCAATGATAAAGGACTATTTTGGGCCTTCTCTACTATAATCTAAATACTTTGTTCAAATTCCTCAGAAATTATTTCTAATTTTATTTGGACAAAACATGCTTCCACAATTACTAATTTGTCATTGCAACCCTCTAGTGGTCTATAAAGTAAGGGTCGTTTGGTGTGAAGGATAAATACAAATAATTTTGGGATAAATATTTAGTGACACTTAATTTAGTGTTTGGTTGGAAAGTTTGCATAATTTATCCTCGGGTTAATAAATAGCACCAGGATAAGTTATCCCTCCAAAAGGGTGGTATAATAATTCCATCACAATTTGTGATGAGATAAATTTATTAAATGACAAAACTACCCTTCAAACCCTTTAATTGATAAGCTTTCACAAGCGCCACTTATGGTCTTCCAGGTTTCTTCTCTTCTTCATTGCAGTGAATCACTCTTTCATTTGGGTACACTCAACTTTTCATTTTCGATTGAAGCTATAGATGGGTGATTGAAGAACTTCTTTAATTTACCAATAACCTTCAACTTTCAAGTTTCTAACAAGGTTAGATTTTTTTTCCAGAATTTGTTTCTCTTTTCTTTCTTTGTCATCATTATAATTCTCTGATCCGTTGCATAATAATTTGGATACACTCATCTTTTCTACTTAATGGAAAAAATCAATCTTTTCTGGAATGTTATGTTTTAGGGTTTTTGTAAATTTTGAAAAAAGTTTGTTCTTTTTATGTGCTTGAGATATTTGTAAACAATTTCAAGTTGTCCTCATTATAAAGTTGCCCTCGTTGATTCTTTTTAATTGTTTTTTTTTGTGTATTAACTCTTTTCATTTTTTAAAGAAAAAAATAGGATTTCTTATGGATCATCAACTACAGTCCGATATTGAATGTTTTATCATCCTTGAGGAGATATTATGCCAACAATTTTGTTATGTTTATTTTTCTTTTCATGGTTATTGATGGTATTTCTATAAAAAAAAAAAAGGCATGTGATTAGGTACCTTATGAGTAGTCGAGTTCCTAAAATTATATCTCATTTAAATTGTATTGTACAAGGTAGTGACACTAACATGTATCGATAAGTTAAGGATGGATAAAAATTCTTTTCACACTTTAGTTCTTTTAACTAAGGAAGTTGGAGGTCTGACTGATAGCAAATATATGTCAAGTAGTGAAAAGTTAGCAATGTTTTCAAATATTTTGGCTCAGATCTATTAAGGTTGATTATATTAGATCGGGCTGGAGCGTAAGTCAAGCTTTTAATGAATGCTTGAAAGCTATTGTAAAACTAGCTCCATTGTTACTTTTAACCGCAAATCGGTGCCTGAAGATGAGCTTGACGATCGATGGAGATGGTTAAGGTATATGCACTTTCAATTGGGTATCTATTAATTTATGTAAAAGTAAAATAAATATAATTTTACAAAAAATTTTTGTTGTTTGAGATAATGTTATAATTTTTTTTTATAGGGTTGTCTAGGTGCAGTGTATGGTACTTACATTCAAATTAGAGTTCCATCTAAGGCCAAACCAAGATACAGGACAAGAAAGGGAGAAACAACAACTAATGTACTAGGAGTTTGTGATAAAAATCTTAATTTTACTTATGTATTACCTGGTTGGGAAGGATCAACGGCTGATGGTCGTGTATTATGAAATGCTATAGCTCGAACGAATGGTTTGGAAATTCCCGAGGGTAATGCTATACATATGCTCACATTAAAATTATATCACAAAAATAATGCTATATAAAAGCAACTAATTTCTTATTTATATTAGATGTAATTATTATTTGTGCGACGAAGGATATACAAATGGAAATGATTTTCTTTCACCTTACCGAGGATATAGATATTGGTTAAGGGATTGGCAAGGTGAAAATCCACCACCCCAATGTCGAGAAGAGCTTTTCAATATAAAGCATGCTAGAACTCGTAATGTTATTGAACGGACATTTGATCTCTTGAAAGGACGTTGGGGAATTCTTAGAAGCCCTTCTTGGTACTCGGTTAAGATAATAGTTAAAGTATATGAAATAATATCTGCTAATTTATATTTGTCATTTGTCATACTTTTAAAAAAAATAAAAATTGTCCATTTCATCAACTTTAGACATATTTATGTGAGCCCGTTTGAATTGACTTAAAAAAGATAGTTTTTAGATAAAAAATAAAAAGTCAAACTAAAATGACTTTTAAGTCAAAAAAAGAAATGTAGGGGAGACCTACTTTTGGTTTTTGATAAATTTTAAGTCATTTTAAACTTATTTTTAACCTTACCAAACACTTCCTAACTTATTTTATGTCATTTTTGACTTATTTTAAGTTATTTTTTATATTTGTCAAACACTTTCAAAAGTCAAAAACTGACTGAAAAGTAGGTTTGACCAACTTTTAAGCCAATGCAAACACCCTCTAAGAGTCCGTTTGGATTGACTTAAAAAAAATATCTTTTAAGTCAAAAACAAAAAGTCAAATTAAAATGACTTTTAAGTCAAAAAATTAAAAGTAGGGGAGACCTACTTTTGATTTTTGACTTATTTTGAGTCATTTAAAACTTATTTTAAGTCATTTGACTTATTTTAAGTTATTTTTTTTATATTTATCAAACACTTCCAGATGTCAAAAATTGACTTAAAAGTAGGTTTGACTAACTTTTAAGCCAATCCAAACACCCTCTAAGTCTCACATCTCCATTTTTATTATCATATATATGTGGCGTCTACTTAGCACCCCTATAGGGATAGTTTGATAAAATAAAATGGAAAAAGATTAAATATACCCTTTACTATTGAAAATAGTTTAAAAGAAAAAAAGTTTGATATACCCTTCAACTTTTTTTTTAGAGTTTATATTCTTCGTTATAAAAGTGGCTCGCATATATCCTTTATCGTTATAAAAGTGGCTCACATATACCCACTGTTATAAAAGTGGTAAAATTATTTTTAATTTTTTTTTTAATTTTTAAATCGCGAATTTGATCTTTCTTACCCATAAATTATTTTTTAACTTCTTTGATTATTATTATTTGTGTTTCTTATTCTTATTTTATTTTCCCTTTCATCCTTTAGTGTAAAAATAAGAGAAATAAAAAAAAGAAGTGTGAAAGAAAAAAGAGAATAAGATTTAAAACTAACTTTTTGCAGTTATATTGTAATTTTAGTTTTTTACATCTGTAAAAGCAATTTTGAGCATCTAGAATAATTTTTTCAAGAAAATAAGTGAAAAATAAATAAATTTGACTATCAAAATAATTAATTTAAATTAGTCATTGAATTAAAAAAGTTAAAAAAAATCGCGTGAGAATGATCAAATATAGCCATACATGGATTTTTTTTAATGTATTTTTTTACTTTCGATAGATGAAAAAGGTATATGTGAATTTGTGTAACAATACAGGTATATATGAGTCACTTTTATAACGAGGGGTGTATCAACTCTAAAAGACAAAGTTAAGAGGTATAACAAACTACGTTCCCTAGTTTAAATATACCTTTTGTTATACTTTTGGTTCAAATATACCCCTTCCATCATACTTTTGATTTTACATATACCCTTTCATTATATTTTTACACTAATTTATTCTTATTTTTAACCGAAAAACACATGACAATCTTAGAATTTTTTAAAGTTCCTTCTATATTCCCAACTTTGAGACATTGAAAAACACAAAAACTTTAATTTTTAAAAATTCATTTTACCATTAATGATATGATTTATAGTACACAAATATGTTTTACTTATTTTAGATCATAAATTTCAAAAGTCTTTATTTCTTTGTAAACAATCGTATTAAATTAAATTACATCATATACATTGGATCGGAGGGAGTATAACATGATACACCCCTGGCTATAAGAAGTATTTATTTCCTAATCCAAAATCTCGCAAATGTATGTTCATGCATACAATAGTGAATTTGTATTTGAAATTACGAGTTTAAGAGAACACAAGAATTTTATGGCACAAATTCTATATTTATGTGAAGAATTTCACTTAATATATTTTATTAATCCATCTAAAACAATTTAATAAACATTATACGTAAACTCTTAACTCCACCTTGATTTTTAAAATCATATAAAAATATATATAGTCAAAAGTTGAGAAATAAAAATAATCATTTGTCAAAACAAACAAAACAATCAACAATTTCTTCAAAAATTAATTTAAGAGTATACGATATAACTATGACTCTCTGATCTGGAAAATTAATCAAGACAATCATGGAGTAGATTTTTTTCTTTTGGACAATGTGTGCATCTTTGTTCTCTTCCTATTTTCTTCTATAACTTCATTGTCATTTATCGCCCTCATTCTTTGAGATCTATAAGGTCTTCTGCGGATAATTGCACTTCTCCCTCCTGGTATCACAACTGCTCTTGCTAGTGCTCGTGTGGATTCATCTTTTAAACGAATTGTCCTATAATAAATTAA